GGGGGGGGGGGGGGGGGGGGGGGGTTTGAGCTTCTGCAGGAGTGTGTTGGGAAAAGCTGCATCGACAATATCCCACTCGAGCAAAGCCTTACCGTCAGCTATGAGGTGCTCCGGAACATGTAAGATCACTCGGACCGAGAGACTGCAGGAGAGGTGGGATGAGTAAACCAGGCCAATCACGCAGCTGATGACACTGATCAGAGTCAGGGTGGTCTTATTGATGGGACTCCGTGGGGAACCTGCTGCTGAGGACAAACACACAGAGAGGGGAGAGAGGGGGAAGGTGGGAACAATAAAGAATAAACCTATGTGAAGGAATGGCAGTGCTTTATTCCCATGTATCCCCTCATATTCCATAAACCCACATGCACGCAGTCACACCAACAAGTGCCACAAACTGCCTCGGCAGGGAGTTGTTTTACAAACAAGTGAAAATAAAATGGGTTTAAGGCTGACAAAAAAGACCTTTGGTTCAAAAACATCAAGCCTTTGGGAGCTTTAGACCAGCTCCAGCTCGCTGGCACAGACCTAAAGTTTACCTTTGAAGGGTTTTAACATACACACTGGGGTGTGTGTGGTGGGAGGGGAAACAGAGACACAGGATGAAAAAAAATAAAAAATAAAAAAATAAAACCGCTCAGAGGTTGTTTCGCAACCATCCCTCTTTCCTGTGCTCTCCTTCCTCTGTCAGAGTGAAAACGCTGCCCTTATCTCCTTTATTCCAGAGCGCAACACAGAAAGTGGTAAACATGACCTCATAACCATAGGGGCAGGCATACGTCCACGCACACAGAAATCACACAACGACCTTGAATATAGATGCTCACGCTTTGTTTAAAGTGGTTACTTTTACTCTAGTGGAATAATTTGAGATTGCATTGTCACTTTTAAATTACTTCAGCAGAGCYTTTTTTTTTCTTTCAAACACTGCCCAAGGCTATCCTTTAAACAAAAGCCAAATGGAAACCTGACCTTTTGTATTGTGCTTTAAGCTAGTTTATTTAATCAGTAAGTTACCCAGAAACTGGATGCGGGCATCATCTCACCTCTTTGACCTTTTCTTTATTTATTTATTTATTTATTTTTATTTTATTTATTTTTTGCCTACCTTCCCAGTGATTACAGTGTATTTCAGATATTACATAGGGTGTAAAAGTTTCCCACAGTAAAGGTTTGGTTAGTCTATATTAGGGGAATATTCCAATGTTCTTACATTTTTAACTTAGACATGTAATGACATGAAATAATCTTGTCATGCCTCACAAATTATTATTTCCTTTTGGTGTAAACAACATAGTCAGGGCACTGTTGCAGCCACCTTGTTCTATTCTWAAACCAGGCTCTAATTAAAGTTGTTGGCTACACTTCCGGAGGCCTCGCCGTGTTTGTGACACCTGTGCACATGACGGGGGAATAATTGGCTTGGAGGCTTTGTAAAGGCTTGTTACACCTTCTGACAGCAGCTATTATTTTAAGGGCATTGTTTGTTTTTAGGATTTTTTTTCTTCGCCCCCCTTGGTCTTCCGCAACAACCCATTACTGTACATCAAAGCGGCGAGAACATGGCATGCTGACAGATAAAGCATTCTCCACCACTTCACTTTGACAGCATTTTCACTGGGTCCTCCTTAGAAATAATATTTATCTGCAATATTATTTCAARCTATTGTGTAATCCATAATGCAAGATGCAAGAAATATGTATTTATTTAGTTGGGAACCTCTGATCTCATCATCTTGTTTGATTTCACTCAACAAGATTGAATGCGGGTGCGCTGAGATCAGTTTGACATGCTCACAAACACTCTGCGCACAACCATGTACAGACTAMATACACGTATGCATTTTGTTTCAGAGTGAAACGCATGAGCACACAATTTTAGAGCCATCAACCTGCTACATGTACTGAGGTCACTTGACATGCGTCGTGGCAACAGCAACACTATCGATGGGATAAACTGTTTGTAGGTGTATGAGTCCTCCTTACCCCCAGAGCCCCACGCGCTGTTGGCGTTACCGTTTCTCATACCTCGACTCCGGCGCCGACTGCGGTTCGGGTCGGTGTAAAAGGCCAGCTGAGGCTCACTGTCTGCCTCCGTCCCAGAGTCCCCGTCTGGGTTCAAGAAAGTTGAACCCGCTGTTGGATTCACACAAAAATACACCTCCAGTAAAGTAGGAAAAAAAATGGACTAATGATGGGGACTTGTTACGCTCACATAGATGGCAGGGAAACAATAGCCAGGATAAAAAGATGAAGCCTCTACTTGATTTATTCTAGACAAGAACCAGAGTTGTTTTTATTCTTTATTTTTTTAAAACTCAATGATAACAACTAGAAGGCCAACTAAAAATGACATGCATCTATGTGCATGTTCTGCTCTATCAGTACAATTGAGCTGTGCTTTGCTTTAAGCTGTTAAGGTTACGCAAACCCTTGAATGGAGATGTTTTAATGTTTTAATGAATTATGGAACTATGTCTCCTATCAAACAACATAAAAC